GCGCCTTGCGTTCCAGTGGGACATTTCTGTTACCCGACGGCTGTCGAACGCGCCTTGCGTTCCAGTGGGACATTTTCTGTTACCCGATGGCCGTCGAACGCGCTGTTCGCCTCCCGCTAGGCCGGTGCGTCTGTTTTCCTTTAGTGAGCGCAAGTCCGCCAAATAAACGGATCTCCTATTTCTACTAACCTCCCGGTCTCCTGTCTTCGGGCTACCCTCACTCTTACGTGACATTCTGGTGGAGGTGCGGGGTATGAACGAGGATGCTGAAGACACAGATACTCGAAGCAGTCGCCGCCCCCGAAACCTACAACCTGAGCTGGGACCGCTACCGGACCCCACGCGACCACGAAAGGACGCTTCCACAGCCACCATGAGCACCCCGCAATCACCTACCCTTGTCATGCTGCAGCAGCCGCGGGTGCCCCCAACTTTCCATGGTTATGCCGCTGAAGACCCAGAAGAATGGCTCGACCAATTCGAGCGCGTGGCTACCATAAACAGGTGGGATGAAGAAATGAAGCTGCGATACGTTTACTTTTCCCTGGACTGCCCCGCCAAAACGTGGTATGAAAACCATGAGACCACACTGACCACCTGGGAATTTCTGAAGAATGAGTTGCTCAGAACCTTCACCAGCATCATGCGAAAAGAAAGGGCCCAGCTGCTGCTAGAATCGAGGACCCAACAGCCCAATGAGACCCTAAACGTGTACGTCAAAGAAATTAAACGTCTTTTTAGGCGAGCGGACCAAGACATGACCGAAGACAAAAAGGTCGGATACCTAATGCGAGGGGTGAAGGAGTCGCTTTTCGCCGGTCTCATAAGGAACCCTCCTAAAACAGTCGCCGAATTTACTGAAGAAGCGCACACCATAGAAAGGACCCTGGACGCCCGGACTCGGCAATACAACCGCCCGTTTCAGCTCAGCTCGCTCTACTCGGAACCGATTCGAGGTGGGCTAACCACCAACGATCTGCGGGAAGCTATTCGTGAAGTCGTTAAGGAAGAACTACGCCGATTGCTACCTCCGAACCCCCAGCCCCCCCATGGAGCATCTCCCTTGGACATAGTGCGCGATGAAGTCCAGCAGGCACTTGGCTCTTCATCAGCAACGACTCGAACAGAGGCCGAAGCAATGACTTACGCCGCTGCAGTGAACACTAGGCCACCCCGACGAAACGAGCCCAGTCCTCGACGGTACGCTGCAGCCCCAAGTAGCCGTCCGCCCTTACCCGCCCACCTTACATACGAGAGAAGCCCAAGCCAAAGAAAATGCGACACCTGGAGAACTCCCGACGACCGTCCCCTATGCTTTCACTGCGGTGAGGCCGGCCACATTCTTCGACACTGCCCCTACAGGCGGATGGGACTGCATGGCCTCTCATCTCAGACACCACGGCCACGCCCTGGACAACGACCTCCGGCAATCGAAGACTACTTGCGCCATACAGAGTACTTGTCCAGCCGTTCTCCATCACCGCCATCCCCACGCTTCACGTCACCGAACCGCAGCAACAACGAACGAAGAAGGTCCCCAAGCCCCCGTAGGGGAAACTAAAACCAGCAACCTTTGGAGGTGAGGTTGCTTCAAGAGGAAAAGCCGGAGACCCTCCACCGACGACCATATATGACGACAGCACATCATCTACGACGACGACAACGCACAACAACCCAAGCCGCGAGACGAAGCAAAACGAAGCAACAAGACGAAGCCGTGACCCGAACCCAAAACCAACGCGCAACTCCAGCCCACGTGCCACCGATTTTGAAGTATCTATCGACGGCCACCCGGTAACTGCCTTGATTGACACGCACGCAGTGATGGAAGTGACATTTTGCTTTTTGGTGCAGATTCCGGACCAGAAAATATGGTGCTTTGGAGCAGCCTTAAGTGTCTTCGGAGCAGAAAAAAATGCTATAGTTCAGGGTTGCTATTGGTGTTTTCGGAGCAGATGCATGTTCCTAACAACTCCTGAAGTCTAAAACATCACTTAAGCATTCAATAAATATTTATATTTATTATTAAACATGTTGCATGCTAGTATGCAGCTAGTACACAAGCACTATAGTTGGGGTAAATTATGGGCGGTGGGGGTCGAGAGAGTCCGGGCTTTTCTGGTGTTCAGGCTGAGGACACCCCTCTCAAGTGTCCCACTTGAGAGGGGTGTGATATAAATGCTTTAGCATGTGATATAAATGAGCTACCAGTCAAATATAGCCTAATCAACTTTCTAAAATGCTTTTTATCTTTTTCTGCGTAACTGTGTTAAATGCTCCTCACCTGCGTGAACTATGGAAATCGAAAAAAGGTGAAAAAAAGAGACTGAATAGAACGATGCAATAGCCCAAGTGCGGACCACATGCTCGTTTTTTATTTTATTTAAAATCATGGTTTAATTCATATATAGATGAAAATAAAACCCACACTAAAAATACGAATTGGACACCATGGCCTCGTATGTGTCGCCCCTTTGAGATTTTTCTGGATTTATGCCACTGAGTAGCATATTAGGATGATAGTATATGCAGCTTGCTTTTGGGTTTGCTTATGCTCACGGGATGGTACCATGGTTCAACTTCATTCTTTCTAGTTTGCCAACACCATTTTGCAGCTGGTTTGGAGCAGCATTTCTCTTTTGGAGCAGGTTGGAGCAATTGGAGCAGCACTTCCATCACTGTATATATATTTACACACTCCAGAGCAGGGGTCCTGATGTGTGATCTTAGTGATCATTTACCAATATATTGTCTACTACCTCCTAGACCACCTTGTGAAAGAACACTTGAAAACTACAAAGGGATATATTTAAAAAAAAAAAACGTAAGAATATTTGTAGAATTAATCTCTTGCTATCGATGGAACGAAGTCATTATAATACGAATACTGACGCAAACACAGCTTACGATGCTTTTATATCCATCTTGGTTTCATGCGACAGATGCTTCCCTCTTGTGAAGCTCAAAAAACACAAAAAAGCAAGAAATTTAAGCTTTCTATTTCATGTGAGCAGTATAACAGAATTAGAATGCGCAAAGTGCTTTTTCAAACTTTTCTAAAAAGTAGAAGTGCAGAAGATTTGCGGGTGTTTAAATCTGAACGAAATAAAGTAAATTCTGATATGAAATGTACCAAACAAGAATATCACATGAATAAATTCACTGCTGAGTCCGGAAATTCAAATCTCACGCGGAGGCCGATCAATGAGATAATGAACAGACGCCCCGAAAGAAATAAAGTTACTTTCCAACAAAGTGGTGTGTCAGACGTTCAGATTGCAAATTCATTCAATGCCCATTTTACAGATGTTGGTTCATCTTCACAACCCAATGTACCAGTCTCTCCACCTGAATATATTGCAAATAGGCGTTCTTCTACTACTTTGTTCTTGGTAGCCATCGACGAGCGGGAGGTCCAGGGCATAATCTCATCGCTTAAAGATGGTTGTGCGACTGGTGCTGATGATGCAAAGGTGCAGCCGCTGAAAGCCGTTAGTGAATATGTAAGCATACCTCTAGCTCATATCTGTATTCTAATTCTTTCAAATGACGTGTGTCTGGATGAAATGAAGCTAGCTCGAGTGACCGTTATTCATAAAGGTGGACCAGCTAGTGATATGAATAACTACAGAACAATTTCAGCACTATCAGCTTTCAAGAAAATTGCCGAACATATAAATAAAAGACTGAGTGGCTTTTTAAACACGAAAAGCTTCATTACACAAGAGCAATATGGTTTCTGTAAAAAGAAATCTTCAGAAACAGCTTCACTTCAAATAAAAGAACAAAAACTCCAAAACATTGAAAACCGAATGCTAACCCTTGGTTTATTTTTTTACTATAGTATTCATGACGTCACTTTATCCTTAATACAAAGCTATCTAACGGCACGAACACAGTATACTATGATGAATGGCACTACCTCTGAAATTCAGACCATAAAGTACGGCATACCCCAAGGTTCTGTTTTAGGTCCCGTTCTCGTTTTGTAGTATATAAATGATAATGTACAGGTACAGGGCTACTCTAACATTATACTATATGCATGACACTAACGTGTTCTTCTGAGCAAGGCAGCACAGTAATTTTGAACAAGCCAACACCTGGCTACAAAGATTAGATATGTGGCTTAATACAAATCAACTTCAATTAAGCATAAGTAAAACAATATACTTGCTCTTTAAATCAAAAGGAACGAACACGGCTTGTCATCCTCAGCTACAGTTTCAAAAAGTAAATATTCAACAGCCAAGCACGGCGAAATTCTTGGGAGTTATATTCCAGGAGAACATGTCCTGGTCCTGGTGCCCAAACTCTACACATACAAACTATTTCTTGAAATTATGCGGCAATTTAGGTCTGACAAACATTCCCTCCAGAGTAAGTACAAAGTGAAAACGACAGGCTACAAATTCAGAAATAGTTCTGTATTTATACCACATAGCAGAACAAATTACGGGGAACAAAAACTTGCTGTTCGAATTCCTAACTTCATCAATGACTATACCTTTATCATAGATCTCCTCAAATCTGGAATGAGGAAGCAAGAGCATCAAAAAACAATAAAAAATTAATATGTCCAGCCGAACTAATGCAAATAAAAGACTATCATGACTCTGTATGAATGTTGTGTATTGTGTTGATTTTCCTTTTTCTCTTCCTACATGTGTATTGTGAGCCATGCAAGTTGTTCCTAGTTTGTGTGTGTGTGCGTGTGTAGATGAGTATATATGCGATTTTCTTTTTCTGCTCGAGAGTTGTGCATGAAATTTTTTTTTTGTAAAACTGTACCCATGTTTTTTTTCTGTTTCTTTATTGTAGTACTTGATTTCCATGTACACTTTTATATTTGTGAATGTCTTTTCCTGTTGCTCAAGTTTGCCCGGCGACGCCAGCGCTTGCCTTTCCCCTACCAGAAAAAGCGCACAACAGTAGCGTCTTCCGACCCTTCCGCTCCCTTTGGCTTCCACGCATTTGCGAAGCGCGCGCTGCATGTAAAACGTCCCTCGTTCCGCGATGTCACCCAAACAGAAAAGGGGGAACTATTGCTGCGTCGTCAACTGTCACAATAGCCGTGCAAACACGAAGGGGTCGACTCCACCAGTGAAATTCTACCGATTCCCAAACAGATGGTACGAAAAAAGCAGACGACAGGAATGGATTAAAGCAGTGCGCCGAGAAAAGTAAGTAAACAATTTTTTAAATAAAAATTAGCAAGCGCACAATCCATTCAACATAACCGGTGTCAATTCCTGCGTCACCGTTCTTCTAATCTATCGAGTTACTGGGAGATGCACGTCCCCGTCTTAAAAGTATAAATTACCATAATACTTTCAACTTGCGTCTTTAAAAGAGCACTGTTGAAAAATTGCGAAGAAATATGTTTACGCTGCTGCTATTATTCGATATTGTTGGGGACGTAGTAGTTGAAGCTGTGAACACATGTGGTATTTGGTGATGTGTGCTTATATATATATTTATATCTACGCAGCGCCGACGGAAGTGTGTGGTTGCCAAAAGCTTGGACAATTATTTGTAGCAGACATTTTGTGGGAAACTGCAAAAACGACTCAAGTCTGCACCCGTCGTATGTGCCGACAGTGTTTCCAGCGGCTTACAAGAAACGGGCTCCTCACGCAGAAACGGCGCAAAGGTATGATAGGCAGTGAAGCGCATAGCTATGCATTTTAAAGCAGTCTTTGAGGACTCTTGATTCCTGATTTTAAGCTCAGCGACAATTCGTTGCACGTATGCGCAATTATCAAGTAAAGCTAAAATTGAAGGGTTTTGAAGAGTTTTTTTTTCTTAAGTTTTTCTGAAAGCCAGGCGCTCATCATGATGGTACGCACGCTGTTCGATAACTCGAAGTACCCGCGACGAGGACGGTGATAATGCAAGGAGGGACACGCGAGATAGATGTCAAGTTTGGTGTGGGTCAGAAAGAAGCCCCAAATAGACCATTTATTTATGTAGGACTGTGTATATACCACACGATAACTTGGATGGGTGCTAGTAAATTAAGGTATCCCAACTAATAGCAGTCACAGCGCAAGAGCCGCTTAACACGAAGCACGAGAAGCTGCCTTACCCATGCATCCAGTAACAAACATAGTGCATAGTACACACAGCAAACCAAATAAAACAGGTATATAATTATGAACGTACAGAAAGTTGTACTCACCTCTAACTCCCCGTCGTAAACAGCGTAGTCTTTCACTTGCGAAACGCACTTCGCTTTGACGAGGACGGCGTCGTCTGCTACAACTTGCTTCGCATCGGCTACATGGCTGAGCAGACGCTGCCCTTTTACTAAATTGCTGCCACGAAAAAAAAAATCCTCGATTGCGCACCACGTGCGACGCGAGAATCTCAAGAACACGTGCAGAACCTGTGCAGCTTGCGAGCAAAGAAACACGTTTTCATCTTTTCAAGGCAGATTGGCGGGGTCAACACTTGAGTAACCAGTTTTCACTGACAGCGCCCTAAGGTCCCTAGCAGCGCCCGGCACTGCAGCGCCTCCCTCGGCGTGGGTCTCCCCTATGAGTGGCACGGCCCAGTCAGGCAATGTTTGCCTTTTGCCGTGTCTCCTTGGACAATTGTTTTTTTAATAAACTAATGAAGAAAGAAAGAATCTGTGATTACCACGGGCTACCACGCAGTCTCCTTTCGAACTAAGGCAGACATTTATTTTGTCGTCTAGTCTACAGAATTAAAGTGGCGCTTATTCTGTGGTCTCCGCCGCATCATAAGGTCCGTTCGATTCGCCTGCACCACGTGAACCAGTTTACAAGGTGCTGCACCTTGCCATTCGTTTCAGCGGTGCAGCATTGACGACCGCTGAACCCTGCCATTCGTTTCGAAAGGTGCAGAAGAGATGCAGCACCGGTTCACGATTTTCCTGCACCTACTTCGCTGACGGTGCCGGCTTGGTGTAGCCGCGCGTGCAGCTGAGCAGACGACGCCGCACTTAGACGTAGGTGGCTTAATCGCCGTACCTGCCTCTACAAACGCGCTGTGTATTTTCAAGATATTTGCGCCTCATAAACTGTCCGCATGTGCGTTTCGCCATAAATCAGTGTCTGATGAACGGCGTAAATTAACCGAAAAGAAATAAGGCCAACACCTTGTCGGCACATCGTCATTTGTTTCGGGTGTCGTGCTCTGCCTGCACCGCTGAACTCACGCTGCACAATTTCTGAACTTCGCGTGCACAGCCGTGGACCGGTTCCGACCGGTGCAGGTGAATCGAACGGACCTATAGTCTTTTTCTTTCTCTATGGCCGCATGTTCGCAGAATAGGCGCTGCGATTACGGCGATCACAGTCAACGCCTCTTCTATTTCTTAGAGAAAGCGCGTAAAAAATAAAGAACCAAAAGGAACCTTGCCAAAAATAAGAGGAGACGTAGCCTCTCTTCGCGCACTTGGCTGCAGCACCGATTTCCCTAGGAAGGTCCCGGCTGCGGCGGCTGCATTTCCGATGGAGGCGGAAATGTTGTAGGCCCGTGTGCTCAGATTTGGGTGCACGTTAAAGAACCCCAGGTGGTCAAAATTTCCAGAGCCCTCCACTACGGCGTCTCTCATAATCATATGGTGGTTTTGGGACGTTAAACCCCACAAATCAATCAATCAAATCAATTTCCCTAGGAAGAGGTTCGAACATGGGTGACAGCGGTTGTGCCGGAGGCCAACGAAGCGGATGCGCAGCTACCGAGTGAGATCTTCGTGACTTCGCGGGACTTCGTGTGCTTTGAAGGCATGCACAGTGACAAAATGCATGTCACCAGTAAACAGATACTTAAAACAACTCCATGTCCACTGGGTTTCGTGGCACTTTCGATGATAGCAGCGTTAGTACAGTACTAGCGGTGCGCCTGCGGAAAGAGTGTGAAGTGATTTAGCGCAGACTGTTTCGAGACGGGACAAGCCGAAGGGAACACACACACAATGGCGCTAGCTGCACTAAATCTGCGCCAAGTCGCTTCATAGATCTCGTACCAACAAGGCCAGAAGTCGACCCTTGTGGATCGCGATGAGAATGCATGGCGGTAATTCTGATGATTGGAACGCCAAGTCTTCGGATTGTCACCACTAGAAACGCTTTGCTGGAAAAGTGTACTGTGCAGGGAGTACTCAACATTAAAATTGTGGATACTCAGCTATGCTTTCAACAGTAACATGAAAGGCTAGCTGCATGTGTGCATAGTTGAAATGGGCATTGTTTCGAAGAGAACCAGTTATGCCCTTCTTTTATAGAGGCATCCTGCTATATTCTTTTTGTCTCTGCATTTGTATTAACTACTCAGATGAAGGGGTTCCAAATTGCTCTTTCAAGAGATGCTATTTTTGGAAAGGAAGTATTTATCGAAGTTTAAATTTTTCATTGAAATGAGGTTGACATTCAGATAGGGTCTAATATATGCTGATCACGAAAGATTGCTGAAAATAGCGTGCAAGTGTGCGCGGTGTCAAGCAAAACACAATCGCTGCACACACACACGCACATATATATAATTACACCGTAAATAAAGGGGAAATGCAATTTTCTATCGTTCCATGTATTGCATGTCGTCCATTTGAGTTGATCCTACCCTCACTTTCCTGTTTTACAGGTCTATCCTGATTCCGTGTTGTGCGTCGGTGGCGTACGACACTCAGATTTCTGACATGCTGCCTGTGAATAAAGGTTAGTGTCCTTGATACAGCAGGATGAAGACAGAACCTAGACAAGTGTCCCACTGTGTATGGGGTATCACTGCCCACCTGGACAGTGGCATGTAGCCCTTGAGCCCGGCAGTGTCGTCTTTCACTAGCTGGAAAGCTAACAACTGGTCATCAGGAGCCAAGATGAGGAGTACGGCCTCCTCATGTTCATCACCATATGTTGTGTGGCCCTGATAAAATGCTGTGTGGCCGTGCTGCATTTCTCATAATCAAAACATGGTTTTAGAATGTTAAACCCCTGAAAATATATTCTTATTACTGACTATTGCCCTCTTGGAAGTTTGGTTTCACAAACACAGCTTTTTACAGCTCGAGAACAGAATGTACACAGGCGTTTATGCAACAGTAAGTAGCATAAGCATGTGTGCAACAGCAAGTAAAGCTTACGTACCATTTGCGTAGCATTATCATCAAAATGTCGGCAACAATGGGGCTCCTGGACAAGTAATAAACTGCATTTGGTGAAGCCCACAGTGGGTGAATGGAAGCCATGTGCTCGGCAAGAACAATTCATCGAGGCCATCCTATGCCGACTCTGCAATTGGGCACACTCACCTCATTCACGAAAGTAATGTACAACAACCTCGGAAAAGAGCAGCGCTTCGTGATTGGTAATAGTGCACTTCAAGTTGTAAAAGACTATGTCTACTTAGGGCAGGTAATAACCGCGGAGCCGAACCACGAGATTGAAGTAACCAGAAGAAGAAGAATGGGGTGGAGCACATTTGGCAAGCACTCTCAAATTATGACAGGTAGATTGCCACTAGCCCCCGAGAGGAAGGTATATAACAGCTGTATCTTGCCGGTACTTAGCAACGGAGCAGAAACCTGGAGACTTACAAAAAGGGTTCAGGTTAAATTGAGGATGACGCAGCGAGCAATGGAAAGAAAAATGTAGATGTAACCTTTAGAGACAAGAAGAGAGCAGAGTGGATTAGGGAACAAACTGGGATTAAGGATATCATAGCTGAAATCAAGAAGAGGAAATGGATATGGGCCGGGCATGTAGCACGTAGACAGGATAACCGCTGGTCATTAAGGGTAACTAACTGGATTCCCAGAGAAAGCAAGCAAATTAGGGGGAGACAGAAGGTTAGGTGGGCAGATGAGATTAAGAAGTTTGCGGGTATAAATTGGCAGCAGCAAGCACAGGACCGGGTTAACTGGCGGAACATGGGAGAGGCCTTTGTTCTGCAGTGGACGTAGTCATAATGATGATGATAACCTCACCCACAACTTTTTGCTTAGAAGAAAAGACTTGCCGGAATGTGAAAAATGTCAACAGTCATCAAAAGTTTTACATATTCTAATCACGTGTCCATACATTGAAACAAAAAGACGAAAACATTTCGCAGCACTATACAAACACCACACACCGATGCACCCAAATAAAATTTTAAAAGATGATTCACTTGTTACTGTCTAATGTTATCGATTTCCTTAAAGAAAGTGGATTCCTCCATAAGCTTTAGCATCAAAAACATATAGTGGTTATCACTAGGTAACCTGTGTTGTGTTTGGCACAGCTTAGCCTGAGTCACTTTTGCGCTGATAAACCCAATATAACTAACTAGCAGCAGTAAGTAGGTTCTATGGTGTTGTGGCAGGTCTGTTTTGTAGTTGGGTATTATTGTCTCACTTAAGAATGGGAAAGGTCTAATGACTGGTCTAATGGAGAGGGGAACCGATGCATAGAAGAACAGGGCAAATGTTGCAGTATTATCTGGGAGCATCAGTTTTCCCAGGTAATGAGTGCACTATTCTTAGATGGGAAGAGCTGTTGTTTGCTATAGGCACCTGTGGCAAGAACTGAGCTATCAACCCCCTGTGATTCATAACATTTCACGAAACTTAGCTAGCATTCATCGTGTTACCAGCAAGATACACCTACTGGCAAAGTTGCGGACAGCACCTTTTGAGTTGAGGATTATGTATTTGGTTGTGTAGAAGCTAATGCAATGGCCCATTCTTTGGCCAACTCTGCTTTCTTAATTCGAATTTATCCGCTTGCCTTGTGGTTGCACTCCGCATTTATGTACTATTGCCATTGGCTATGTATTCGGCCGCATCGATGTAGGCCACCCACGAGTGTTTTCAAATCTTTCCTGCGTATCCCCAGTGCACCCCTTTCCTTTTTTCTTGTGGTGTTCAAGATGCATGTTTTTGGGTCATGCAAAGATCACAAGGTGCTTCCGTATGTCATGGGGAATGTTTAGTTTTGCACCATATTGTGATAAATAGTTTATTCCAAGTTTGTTCAGCATGTGCCTACCCATAGTGCTCTATGCGATTTGTGTGGACTCTTATAGGCGCCTCGAGTCTATTGTGCTTATTGGCGCTCCTATAGCTGATTTGTATGGTCGTTTAATGATCTTCAATTTTTGTCGTTTCTGATACTTTTAGCCTAGTAAAGCATTAGATTTTTTATGTGGCTGTTGATGAAGGCCAGGAAATGTTGTAGCGAATTGGTCTTTTTTGTACCATAGTGCAAATTAGCTATTCTTTTGATCAGCCTGATTATTGTGTACTATTTTCTAGTATTTTTATTGCTTCATTGTTACAACCATTTCCTGCTAAGTGGAATCCAAGGACTCCAATGCTGTTTACCATAGGTAATGGGTTGCTGTTTGAAGTAAGCATGATGTTTGGTTTGTTCGAAGACTTCTTACAGACCCTACATGCAGCCCGTAAGAGCAATAACTGATTTCCATGGTGAAAATCGCAGTCCTTCATCCACAATATATTTTTTTTACAACTGCTTGTCGAGTTTCTTCTATGACCATAGCTTCCACTTGTTACCCACAGCACGTTGTCATCAGCACAAAGGGTGTGCAGTAATGCTTTCATGTTGTTTTGTTCGGCTGCCGGGCCTATTATGGCTACATTGAGCAGGAGGGAAGCTATTTTAATGGGATAGCGTCAAAAAGCTCGTTTCGCAGAAATTCCAGTGTCGGTGTTGTCGTTATCAATTGTGGGCGAAAAATCATCATCTTATGCGTGACCAACAACTCGAGAACGGTGCAATTAAAATAAAATCCTTGGTCAGAGTGGGGATCGAACCCGGGTCGTTAGTGTGGCAAGCGGATGTTCAACCACACGGCCACACATTTGCTTGTGAATACAGTGAGAATAACTTCCATTGCTTGGAAATGCAGCCAAAGTAACTTTCATGTTTGACAAACACACTCGTCCTGTATACGTGTTTCACAGTACAGCATGAAATATTGCAGCAATAATGTGTGGTACAAGCATACATCGGGCGTCAGAATATGTGATTATCACAATGACTTCGTGGTTTAAGGCCGATCACCTACTACAAAAGGCACGCACGCTACTGCGCCTATTCCCTTAAGGTCACGAAGTGGGTGCATAGCAAGTTCGAAAACATTTCGTGCACTAAGTGTTTGGAGCACACACTAGGAATAGGGCATCGCTATGGCGCTTAACTCTTGGTGAAGCTTTAGGGTCCTCTAATTTTTTGTTTAATTTCAGTTGACCAGCAAGCATGTTTTACAAAATAAACCATGCTCACACATTGTTATTTATTGAGAAAGGTCTTCATGTTTTGTTCTCTATAACTTTATCTATACTACAGTTTATTTTGCTTCATAATAACCCTAAACTGCAAACCACTCCCTTTTCATACCACCATACCACTGTGTCAGTAGAGATGTACAACAGTTGTTTACTAAGCCATATGCTACCGGAGACTGCATGCAGACTGACATGTATGTACACTGCTGCTATAAATGTGCTGCTCAGTGTCTTTGCATTTTTGTGCAGTCGAACATTGAACGAATCTTGCCGAAAGATCTTTGCAGTGAGAAATGTATACCTTAAAGAACTCTCCAGATCATTCAGCTGTTCTTTCACGATAATGCTTCATCATATCTGTCCAGCTTCTTTTATAGCAGGACACTGTGTATTGAATAAAGTAAGACAGTTACAGCACACACACGGCAGCTGCACCTCATCTGCAAAGATCAAGAGCAAAAGGTGATAATTTATCAAGACGAAAGCCTTAAGTGCCTTATCAAGCGCGAAAATTGACCATCGGTGGTGTCAGCGACAACACGCGGGATGCAAAGGATAACGTGAGATAGTCACCACATGACGGCATCGAGATGTCACGTAACATGATGCCACAGAATGTTGTCACGTGTTGCCACTTGGTCAAAGGTAGGCCAACCCTGGAGGCGCTATGAAGCTATGTGAGGTGAAAACGCTTCGAGTGCCTCCAATCCCGGAAGCTGTGCTCGATACCACATTGGATGCAGCAAATCTTTGGGGAGGGGGGCTCGATACATTTGACTAAAAAACAAAGTAACAAGATGGTTTTCACCTTCGTGGTCTTGGGCAAATGCATGAGGACTGTACGAGGGTTTTTTTTTGTTTTCATTAAATGGCTAGCCTACCCAAATTCATCTGTTTAGGCTGACGTTGGCCATTCTCTTCTCCCCATTTCAGGAATATGCAGGCTACTGCTTAAGGCTGGCTTATTAGTCTTTGTCAGTCCTCCTTGCCAAAAAGAAAAAAATGAGAAGCTTGAGATTGTTTGCTCTTAAGTCTTGTCATGGCAACCTAATTAAGGTGAAATGTTGCTGAAAATTGCTTGCAGTGGCTAATACAGGAATGGTGCAAAAGAGATGTCTCTGTGGTCAAGTGGCCAACATGGATGCTGCAAGCCAGGTGCCAGGCTGGAAAGTGCGCCGAGAGGTGTCTATACAGTGCAACTTGCTTCCTCCGCCTGCCCCTCCTCCTCTGATATGTACGTATCATATAACAGGTAATACATACCATATTGACATGTGTGTGTTGGGCTTGCGCTGATGTGCAAAGAATGATGCAACATATTGCAACTCGAGACAAAGTAGCATATTGTGCTAATTATTCCAAAGTGTGCAGTAGGAGTGCTTATGTAGGAAGTGTCGGTTCAGAGGACCATCCCACACTATGTCTTTGTTAACCTACACAAACTCCATAGTAATTAAGCCTATGATAGACCTGTCGCACGGCCACCACTCAACGTCAATGTCCCCTTAGGGAGTTCAACAAAGATGGAGTGGTGGCAGTGTCAAACGGCAATGACAAAGTTGTAATAGTTGCTGCGAGAGGCTCGGCTGGCGCTGTTTGATTTTTACAGAAGTATCCTAATTTTGTCTCTAGTCTGCTTTTTTTTTGTAAATCTTCGTTATGCAGTTTTTACAGAAACACACTATTAAGTAGGTCTGAAGCGAACTAAGCATTGGAAATTATTTCAAATGAAGACGCATTCGCTAAATGTAGCAATGCTGGCAGCGACGCTGGCCAGCTTGTGCCTAACGCTACGTTTGTTTACAGTTGCGCCAGGCTCAACGACTGGTTGTTTTGTAGCCTGCGTACAAAAGTTGCAGCACTGCCAGTCATTCTTCTCACGGGCAAAGACAAATAAGGCAGCCACAACAACCGCAAGCACGGACGAAATATTTTTAAATGGCGGTGACCACCTCGACTCGCGAGGCACTATGTGGAGAGTAGCTGCACTCTGGCGTGCGTATACGGTATTTACTCGCATAATAGATGAACTTTTTTTTTTCAGGAAATCCGGCTTAAATTTAGGGGTGCGCTATTTACGCAGGGTGAAATTTTCGAAAATTTTTTCGGCTCTGTTCTCGCGCTATAAATATGCACATTTGTCAAGTAAAAGGTGGCTTCATTGTTTACCAATTAATTCAGCATAAAACTAACATACCTACGTACCTTTTAATGAACAAGCTGTCAACTGCACACACCCACGTAAAATTTATTTACACAAAAGTCGTAGGTGTTCCTCCTTTTCCATATTTGTAGTCAGAGTCGGAGAGTACACACTCATCATCGCTGAGCAGTGATTAGTTTTCAGTGTTCGAATCATCCGCACCCCACAACACGTGATCCTCACTCGCATCCAGTGCGTTCGAGATACCTAGATACCCATCTTCTTGAAGCTTTTATTGACGACTTCATCGGAGATCGCCTGCCACACTTCCACGATCCAAGTGCACAGCATTTCCACAGGCGGCCTCTTAATCTTCCTGGAGTTTGCGGACGTTGTCCTCCAGCCATCCAGGTGGTGTACAGTTTTCGAACATTGTCCTTGAAAGGCTTATTCAAGGACACGTCCAAAGGCTGCAGTATCGAGGTCAGGCCACCCGGAATCACTGCCAGATCTGTGGGCAGCTCCTTTAGCTCATCTCGTATGCAGTGTACTAGGTGCCCAAAAAGCTGTCCAGGACAAGCATGGATGGGAACAACAGACTACCCGGCCGCCGACCTCGGACTATTTTCACCCAATCCACCATGAGTTCCGCGCTCATCCAGCCTTTTTTCTGGACTCAGACGTAGATGCCTTGAGGGAAATAGGCCTTTGGGAGCGTCTTATGTTTAAAAATAACGTAAAGTGGTAGCTTGCGCTCATTCCCTGTCACCGTCAGCATTACGGTGCATCGTTGTTTATTAGCGCCAGACGTTCTGACGATGATGCTCCGTGTACCTTTCTTTTCCACTGTTGTGTTCCGCAACATATCAAAGCAAACGGCGGTCTGATCCGCGTTGCCGATCTGGGACAAAATGAAGTCTTTCTGCTGTCTGAGCTTTATAAGGAAGCGGTGGAAGTCCACCACTTGGTCCTCATATGCTGGGGCGAGACACTTGGTCCTCATATGCAGTGCGAGGTGTGAAGGTGGAGCACCATGTGTTCCACCTTCACAGCGCGACATATGGTGTTCCACCTTCACAGTGCGAGGCCATGGCGCCGCATGAAATGAGTTGTCCATCCGGAGCTGGCTTTGAACTTTTTTGCTTCGATGCGCTGCACTCGGGCTATTCTGCACGCCTCAGTCTGCACAATATCCAATGACACAGCACAGCTGTCTTGTCCTAGCTCCCGTATATGCCGGACCAGTTGCTCTTCGACATTCGGATACCTGCCGGTCTTGGCACCACGGAAAGCCCGTCGTGTCGTCTTCGTCACCTTAAGCTCTTCATCTTGCTCCCTCCAGTAGTGAATACTGGTTGCTCCAAAACCGAAATGCCTGTTTGCAGCCAGGTTGCCGTGCTGCAGCGCGTATTGCACTGCCTTCAGTTTAAATCCAGCCGCGTAGCTTAAGTACTTCCCCATGGTGGAATTAAAGTTGAATACTTGACCACAACATATGCACACCGCTTGCAAAATGGCTTTTCTTTCTTTTTCTCTGATGGTGGTGATGGCAACTGAGCCCCAGGCATTGTGCACATGACCTCTAACGAGTGCGGCGCTTTGAGAGGTATCAGTAATTGATGAAACAGCAGTTTTTTTTTTCGCTCATGGACACTTTTTTTTTAAGTTTTGTTTCGACAAACACGTTGTATAGGTCATTGCACTTAGCGTATAAACCGGAATATAAGTCAAGATATTTTCAATAAAACAATGAGCTAAAGTCGCCCCTCGTCTTGTATAGCGGTATCTAGCCGACAGTGCGCCGCTGTCTGGGCAACATGTGGCTTGCTTATGCATGAGAAGCTGGACAAGGCCATATTTGCACTCAAATCCAGTCGCAGATTTTTCTTTTCACGTCTGTTTTTTTTTGTGTTCGTGATTTGCCTCCGATCTGTTCTAAGTTCTCGCTCCGCTTGACATTAAATTTCATTTTTAGTAGTCTTTTTTTCATTCACTGAATATGAGTAGCGGTACGAGAAGGCAGTACTCAGCTGCGTTTAAACTAGAGGTGCTTGAGTTCGCAGAAGCGAATGGGAATATGGCTGCTCAGCGCCGCTTTGGTGTCTCAAAAAAAAGCGTGCCTATTGGAGGGTGCAGAAAGGGAAGCTGCAGAGGTGCAATTCTCGGAAAATGTCATTCGTGGGTGAAGTGTGGTTCATCCGCAGCTGGAGAATATGCTAGGGAACTTTGTGTGGGAAGTTCATGAGTGCTCGCTGCCAGTGACCGTGCATACCACTCACAGGAAAGCCGTGGAACTCGCTCGAGAAGCTGGGCTCACGAGAGAAGAGTTTCGTGCACCAAACTCTTAGGTGTGTCGATTCATGAGACGCAAAGGATTTTCTTTCCGGTGGCGCACATCCATTTGTCAGAAGTTTCCAGACGAGTTCGAGGACAAGCTTATAAACTTTTCGGGGCTTCGTGAACCGGCTTTGGGAGCAGACCAACTACATGATGGTGCAGATTGACAATGCCGATGAGACCGCCGTGTGGTTTGACATGCCTTCATCGACCATGATCATGCAGCATGGCGCCAAGGATATGAAGCTGTTGTCCACTGGCAACAAGCACTCGCGCTTTACCGTCATGCTGGCATGCATGGCAGATGGTGGAAAGCTTCCACCCTTCATCATTTTCAAACGTAAGACAATGCCGAAGGAAGTTTTCCCGCCCGGTGTTGTCATTCGCGTCAATAAAAAGGGATACATGGACGAGGCCATGATGCTCGAATAGATACGAGTAGTCTGGAATCGTCAGCCAGGTGCAATGTTGCGTCTTTGCAGCATGCTGGTGTTAGATGCGTTTTGTGGTCACTTAACCGATGCTGTGAAGCCGCACTGGGCGATGGAAAAACAAACCTCGCCGTGATACCAGGTGGTATGACGTCCACCTCCATCCGATTGACGTTGTGCTAAACAAGCCGTTCAAGGACCGAGTGTGACTGGAGTACCAAAAGTGAATGTCCGGCGACAACCCAAAGACACCAACGGGCCACCTACAGAGGCCTCCGCTTGCGACTGTTTGTTGCTGGGTGCTTTCCTCCTGGCGTTCCTTGCCAGATCCCATGGTGGAAAATGCTTTCAAGAAATGTTCCATCAGCAACTCGCTGTATGGCACGGAAGACAACGCGCTGTGGGAGGCGGCCAGCGACAAACTCTCGTCTTCAGAAGACAGTGGTGCTTCGGCTGACGAATAGGAACAGTTGCAATGGTGGTTGAGGGGAGCTCTGACGATCGGGGTGCGGTACGCCCAATTCGCAAATAAATGTCGTTGAACAGTTTCGGGTTATTTTCCTTTTTCTTTTCTTTTGTGGTAACCTGAACTTGGGGTGGTCGGCCTATATTCCCACTCAACCTATAGTCCGGTTTATACGGTAGAATTTTTTTTTTTATATGCTTGTCAATTCGCCTTCTTTTTTTCTTCAGGGTACGGGGACCTCGTTCCAATTACCGCTGGTAGCTAGAATCGTTTCTAATCGCGGCCAAGTTTGGGGCGCGCCTATTATGTGCGGAATTTTAAAAAGCGAATTTCACGCAACCAAACTAGGGCTAGGGGTGCGCCTATTATGCGAGTGCCCCGATTATGCGAGTATATACGGTATGTATCTAAAGAAATACACATTATGAATAAGTACTGTGACGAAAAAACGTTCAATATTGCCAGACTGTATTATTGTTTTCACTGCGGCAATTTATTGCTCAAAATTTTTTTCTGACCTGCAGACTACTGGGGACGAGAGTACCTCGTTCCGCTGCAAATGGAGATTGCCGAACTTCCTTGAAAAATGCTCTGTTTACCTTCTTTTGCGTAAGGGTGACCGTGTGACATGGACCGCATCTCCCTGTTCGTAAGGACAAAAAATTTAAATTGTGTTCGCGGGTGCCCGCGTCACAGAGGTATGAGAAAGGTTGGTGTGCGATTTAACCATTTGCGGTCTGAAACCTTTCCCCACTTTCTGGCTTCTCTGGTCTGTAACAGTAATCACCACTGTCTGGTGCTGCAAAGAAAAACACAAACTGTGCAAGGAAACCTTTTGGCATATTTATTTTTTCTGT